CGCGGCTAATACGTCCCTGCTTACTGACCCATACATGCATTCATTGGTACATACACTTTCACTGACAGACACATGCTCTCACTGATACACATATACTGACATACATTCACTAACAGACACAGTCATTAACACACACACTGTTTTATTGACATTCACGCTCTGACAGATACAAATACACTGCCCTACACTTACTGACACACACCTTCACAGACAGACAGACACACAGTCATTGGAACACACACTGTTTATCCAACACACACTGTCACTGACAGACACACATTCTCACTGATACACATACATTGACATACACTCACTGACACATTCACAGTCATAGGCACACACACTTTTTAACCAATACACACTTTCACTGAGAGACACACACTGACATACACTCACTGACAGATACACACTTTCAGATACACATACGCTAACATACACATAGTTACTGATAGACGAGCACTCTCAATGACACACACACTCTGACTGACAGATGTGCATTCTCACCGAGACACACTCACTGATTTGACACACTCACACACATACACATTCTCTAACATACGTTCACAGATTAATTTTATTATTTATTTACCTTTGGGATAACTGGTGTGGATCATCTTCCTGGGTTCTAGTGGGGCTGCTCTGATCTTTGTGCTCTTTTAGCACTGCTCCCTCTTCTAACAGTGCAGGAAGAGCATAAAGATTACTGCTCGTGTATCGCCCATCTACAGCCCCCTCAGATGCAGTATATTTAAGCAGAGTAGGCACCTATTGTTAGAGTAGGCAGGTACCTACTCTGCCTTAGTGGATATCCAACCCACTTCGTGAAGAAGCACCCTAAGGCGGCCAGCCGGCAATCTCTTTGACCCCCAATGATGAGCAAAACACAGACAGCCCGGTCACACTTGCATCCTTCCCCACCCCTATAGTTCCACCACTGCACTGCACAGGAAATTCATATTCTGAGTGTGCTTCCCACGTGTCTATTGTTGTAAATACTAACTTTATCACTGGTAGCCTGAGCTCTATGACATCAGAAAGTGAGGTTCTGCCTCACTCATACACAAACGCAGGCCAAGGCAGCAAAGTAGTGTGTCAGTCATCTCTACCTTATCCTATCCTTTATAACTGCGAGACTGTGAGAATAAATGTGATCCTCCTAGAACAATAATAAGTAACCTTGGAAAGGCGCAAGTGGACTGCAGTGAAGCTGTCTGAGTAATATAGTTATCTATCACAAATACCAGAGCTGCCAGTCACTGCCCCTTGGTCTAGGACCCCCACTGCAATGTATGGCACGTGCTTCTTACTAAGGTGAAGTTAGGTCATCTCATTGATATTTTAATAAGGAATCAGCCAAATATTTCACTTTAATTATTTCACAACCTGTCATATATTCAAGATGAAATTTGATGCCCTTCCAACCTGGCAGAAATTGGATTTGCTTCACAGCAGCTTGGCATTGCCTGCATGTATGCAACATTAATGTTTTTGACAAACTAGATTTTTGTATTTTGCATATGCCGTACAATTTTTTTTTCTCCATTTAGTCATTGCCATAACTGGGATCATCCAGAAAGTCCATGACTGCCTGGCATGCCTGTTGTTTGTGTAACAGTTATGCAAGGCAGCTAATGTATCAGTTTGTTTGGAAAAGTTCTAAATGTTCCTACTCACCACTTCAACTCCTATTGCTTCCTGTGCAGCACACTGTCTTGAGCTCCCACTCTCCACATATTTTTGTCAATTTCGTCATTGCTCTTTTTTAACTTTGTCTCCATCTATCCTCTCACCTTTCTACTCACTTCTTCTTTCCTTCTTTGTTTTTCTTTTGTTCTGTTTTTCAGTAATTCTCACAACTGCAGAGTTTGCCTCGGTGTCAGGATTTGCTCTGCTCTGTTCTGATGTCTGACTTGGCTTCTTGTATCCAGTACTCTTTTTACAATCCTTGCTTAGTTTTTCTTGATTTTTTCTGGTTTTCTATTCTATGTCTGGTTTTCCTTATGCTGGGTTTTCTGGGTTCATTCTTATATTCCGTCCCTGGATTTCTCAGTCTCCAGGTTTCATTTAAATGTTAGTTTTATGTTGCCATACCCGTTTGTTTTCCATTTCTCTTTTGTTTCAGTCTGGACCTGCAGGAGTGTTTCAAGTCTCTGCCCTTTCTTGCAGGTAAGTGCTATTGTGGTTTAGTATGGTTCTTTTAGCGAACATTAGGCAGTGTAGGACCTGCCAGATATGGGGTACATTGGCGTTGTGGCAGGCTTATGCAATGTATGTTCATATAATGTAACTAAATCCCCATACTTTTCATATATATAGTGCTTAGTTATGTTTCCTCTTGTTTTGCCTATCTTATCTTGTCTTGTTTTAGTTTGTAATCCCAGTTTGTACAGTCCTGTCTTGTCCTGCCCATGTAGTGTTAATGTTTTCCTCGTGTCTTGTGTACATGGTCTGGCTTTAGCTTCTTATCCTTCTCTGGTTCTGGGTTCTACTAGTTCTGTCTTGTTTTCATGTTTGGTGACTATCCTAGTCTTGCCTTGTTTCTGTACTGGATACATTCTTGCTGCAGAGCCTCCCTATTCAGCTCCTGGGAGTTCTGCTTATTTCCAAGCTCCTGGTTCCTGTAGCTGCATCAGGGTTCTGGTATGTGGCCACACAAACGCTGGTGCTCAACACCAGAGGGCGTGTGGTTGCCCTGCACCAGGCCCTGATAATCCACTTCCACGCTGAAGACGCCTAACCTTTCATCCCGGTTTCCATACCGCCACCCTGACACTTGGCCAGTGGCTAAAGAGACGGCAGCTCGGAGTTCAAGCATTGAAAGAGTTTTCTGCACACAATGCATTAGCAGGAGTCAAACTCTGGTAGCAAGATATGACATACAGCCGCCAGTTGGGTAACAAAAAATACAAAACTAAAATACAAAACTAGTGGGGGGTGGAGCTACAATGGATCCCTGACACCATAGACTCTAGCGAACTGCCACAGTTTACCAGGCAATTATTCTCTGCTACATTGACACCCAAACATGCTAAGGGACTATCACTAAATGGACTTTACCACCTAGCTGTGTGACCTACTAACAAAAACTCTGTACCCAGAGATGTTGTCCTATGCTTCAGGTTACGTAATTATATATTTGTAACCAGGGCCGGACTGGGAATTAAAAGCAGCCCTGGAAGAAAAATATTTACCAGCCCCATAATGCATCGCACCAGCATAGTGTGCAGATACAGAGTTAGAACAGATAACTTAAAATTAAAAAGTACTTCAACGTAAAAAGCGCACTCATAGGCTTCAAAATAAACAAAAGTGCAGATTTATTTTAAGCAGACGTGCCTTTGCATGTAATCAATGTTTCAGTCCAACTACCTTGACATATTAAGGAAAGCTTGTTAATGGGACTGAAATGGTGAATGTATGTAGGGCACAACTGAAATTTTTTTATTTTGAAGTCCTGTGGGTGTGCTCTTCACTTTAAATATGTTATTGTGCTGGAGTATGCACCTAGCAACAAGACTGGGCCAATATCTGCTCATTACATATGGTACATATTAATTTCTCTGTGTATTATGCATTTATAAATGTACATTAATATGTGTAAATATAATAGAGATATATATATATATATATATATATAAAAAACTAATACACACATTAATATACATGTCATATACTAATGGCGGATCCAGAGCCTGAGAGGGGCACTTGTAGATTATTTAAAGAAATATTCCATGCACAATAACCACTACTCCTCTGTGTAGTGGTTATGGTGCCAGGAGCGTCGGCACCCCCTCCCAAGGTAAGTCGTCAAACCCTTTACCTGGA